TAAAAAAAAAAAAAAAAAAAAAAAAAAAAATGAAGTGAGCCATCTTTTGTTCATTTAAAATGGTGTTTTGAATTTCGTATGCAGAAGACGTTTTGTTACATTGCAGATTTTAATGTATTTAATAAATGCAACATGCAGATAAAGTGCAGTGTATACTGAGTATTTAAATTAAAATGTACATTTCATAAATACAGTTTCAAGAGAAAGCATCATTTTGTGTATACTAACACATTAAGTGTATGTCAGAAATTGATGTATAAATATATATTTTAACACATTTTCTGAAATTAAACTGCAGTTTTGTTGAAATATTTGGCTCTATATGTGTTCAAAATTTAATTTGATTCAATTTGTATTTTCACAGTTCAAAATATTCCTTAAATGAAAACCTATGTTAATGACTTAATGATAGATCTTAAATTTTCAAAGTAAAATAATTTAAAGAATGGTGAGCAATATTTGTACTTAATATTCATATTATGTCAATGACATTTAAGTAGGAAATCCTTGTCTACCAAAACATTTACTTGAATTCAGGAAGGTGCCTATAGAAATTAACATGCTCTGTACCTATAGCCAGCTCACTAATCAGGAGTTAATGAGAACCAGTAGTTAGCTCTTCATGTTAAAACAGGATAAATAAGTATTCTTTATCTATTTAAAATAGAAATTTAATCAGATTAGCCACAAACTAAATGCATAAAATCCGGTATATGTGGGATTACCAAGTATTTTATATCCTAGTTGTGCTGCAGGATATATTCAATATAAACAAATTTTAATGTTAATGGATAACAATAATAACTAAAGGAACTAAGTACATAGGCTTGAAAAAGCAACCCTGAAGATGTGAGTGGAGTATAAGATGAGGTAGAAAGTGAAACTTCCACGTTGGAATGTTAACCAAAAGGCTCATTAGTTGTGCCCCTCAGGTGTGAACAGCATGATATTTAATACAGGTGGAGAATTAGTATTAGAAAAGGGGGGAATTTGTGAAAATACAACTTGGTTTGGGGGATAGAAAAACACTTCATAAACAGTAATAGGCACAAGGGAAGTGATTAATATTAGTTTAACATGGTAATTAGAAGCAATTATTACTGCCTTTACATTTAAAAAAATAACCATAGAGAAGAAAAAACATGGATAGTTCACAGAAGAAGTGACAGTTTCTAGTAACCTAAGACATGCAAATTAACATTTAGCAAATTATAATTTGTCTTAAATAGCAGGACCTAATGTAGAAAGGCAAGCTTTCCTGTGTGCTTCTAGAAAGTAATTTGGCAATATATATCTAGAGCCTTAAATATTAACACACTCTTCAGTTTAATGACATGAGAAGATAACTCATGGTGCAATGTTCAAAAAATGCAAAATTATACTAGTCCTCTGCGCTTATCCCTCCCTTCCCTTTGAACCCTTCCCCCACATACACCCCCAAAAATAACTGAAAGGAAGCCTTGACACCCAAACCTACTCTCATGAGGCACACCCCCACACCAGAGTCAGGGCCAAACTTGAGGGTGGGAAAACTTGTACTTCCCAGCATCAGATATACTGTATTTGGAAACATTGGCATTCTCCCAATTGATTAGTTTTTGTTTAAGGATCTGAAGTAAATTTCAGTTTTACCTCAGAGATTTAGTCTTCTGCTCCACATAGCTAGAATATTAATTTATTGAGATGCCAGTTTGGGGGCATAGTCTTATAGAAATGCCATCTATAATTTTCTCAGTGTGATGCACATAGACCAGGGTGCCATATGTTTTCTGTTTAGCCAATCAGAAAACGATAGGTAGAAAATTTTGTTTCTGATATGGCAATGTGTCTGTAATACCCATTAGGTTTGTACCTAACTTTCCCCATAGAAAATTCATTTTAGGTACAGTGTGATTTTACAGCTTGCTACCCCCCACCCCCAGCTATTAAGTATACAGTTATTTTGATTCCTATGTCCCAAATAGCTGAGTGTTTTCAATGCTTTTTCCAAAGTTCTGAGATAAGTAGAGGTATTGAGACAAGGATGCTTTATCATCAAGCCCCCGGTGGTGGGTAATCACAACTGCCATTATTCAAGAATTGTCACAGGCCAGATGTCCTTCTCCAAGTCCCAAACTCTGGTCACTCCAGACCTTAAAAGGGGGGCAGGGGGAGCCTTAAGATTAGGATCATCAAAATACCTGTTCTTCATGGAAATAGATCTGTGGAACCAGAAATGGCTGATTTTCTGGAAACAAATTTTTGAGACGATCTGAAGTCACTTTTTTTTAAGGCAGCTTTGTAGTTCAGTGGCAGGCACTTTGTAATGACTCTGTTCTCTTAAATAACCCCACTAAAAGGACAAAACCCAGTCCTCCAGATTCACAGTTTGATGGAGGACACAGCAAATCTTCAGACACAGTGCAACAATAACAGACGCAGTCCAGAATGGCTCCGTCAGAGGTTTCCTCGAGAGGTGACACCTGATCGACACTTGAAGGTCAGGAGACTAAGAAACCTGCTCAGAGTTTTACAGGAGAATGTAGAGCTCCGTTAGCCACAGACTGTCCCACTGGAGGCAGGCAGGCCTCACCCACCTCAGAAGTTTGGCTTCTGTTCATTCAGAAGGTAACCGATTTATTGAATGATTTTAAGCAGTGGGATTGTGATCAGATTGCATTTTAGAAAAATTAATCACTCCAGTGACAGATGGGAGGTAGACTGGGGGTTGAAACTAGAAGCTGAGAACTAATTGAGGAGGGACAATAATCCAGAAAGAAATGATGAATCGGCAGAGTTAGAGGCAGCCTCGGATGCCCGTGAAGGAGGTCGGCCTCGACCTCGGGCCTTCCTGGGCAGCTTTCCCGCCTCGGTGAGGCGAGCCTTCCATTCCCAGCCCCAGGCTCCTGTTCTTTATGGCTCCAAGGAAAGATCAGAGAGTCTTGAGTCAGATTTTCCCTTCCAACAGTCACATATCTCTAGGAAATGAAAGTCTTTGTTTCCTGTTAAAGAAATTTCCAGAGTTTAGCAAAAGGAATAGGAGTGGGGACTAGAAGAAGCGTGGCTGTCACCTTATGCCTCTGTGTAAGTTCGGCCGCAAAGGTAAACCAAATGTAGTCCTTTTATGGTGATTGGGGTTAGAGTGGTTCAAAGCCTGTCCCTCAGAGCTATCCCTTCTCCCAGAGTACAAAAGGGCTCCCCCCATTGCAGGCACTCACAGCCCAGGTCAGAACAGGTTTTGCTAGGCTTCCACCTTGCCGCCTTTGCCATAGTTCAGTCCAAAAGCTGCTTTCTTTCCTTCAAGTCCTCGCCTACAAGAGATGGGACCTTTTTCTCACCTCCTCCTGCCTCAAGCCTAGTAAGCCTAGAAAATCCTATTTTCTAGCACTACTAATAGTTTATTATTTAGTCACATACATTTGAACCCTGTTTTTTCTCCTTTCTCACATTCCAGAATGTACCCCTTTCATAGATTTCTATACCAGGTCACAGAATTTCTGTAGCAAGATCTGTTCTCTGAATGCGTATATTCCCTTTGTCGGTGGAGCAATCACTGTACGGTGCTATTTTACAGTTTCCTTAGTGGGCTGCAGTTGGTGTGACATGCTGTGTTCACAGATGAAAAAGGCTAAGTGAGGCTATACGAAGCAAGCTAAAGGTCACAGACACTCTTTTGTTGTTTTTAACAGAATCATCATAAAGTAAAGACAGCCTTTCAGGATTGGCAGTGGTAAAGTAAGAAGCAGGTGTTTTGCACTTTGCGTAGTCCACTTGGTCATAGAATTTGTTGAACATACTTAGATGGCGAATTAGCTTTATTTTTTCTTCTCACAGGGGAAACTGATAGATTAGGCAGTTTGAGGAATTTTCCCATGTTCTTATGTCATGGGTTGAGCTATAAAACACAGCATCTAACTTTATGGACTAAGACACTGTCCACAGAAGCCAAAGGTAATCCCTTTGAAAGAGGGAAGGAAATAAAATTATAAAAATTATAAAAATAACAGTGAAATGCTACACTTCTCCCTTCCCATAAAAAAGCTGAGTTTATCTTTTCATTTCATTCTTTTGCATGCCTGAGATTTCTATATAGCAACTGTAAAGTATTCTTGCCTACTGCAGTCTAAAATGTTTCCCGGGTCACAGTTTTGCTGTCATTTCACAAGCACGTAACACATCTATCAATAAATTGCACCTGAGGAAGTCCACAGACAGCAAGAGACCATTTCCCCACACCTGGGCATGAAATAGTATCAGGTCAGTGTATGTTCCCACTAAAGAAATGCATATATGTAATTCAATCAGGTGGCAAATGGACAAAAAAGAATATGTGTAACTTTGTAAAGCCCTAAAATGAAGGGTTTGTTTTTGAGAAGTTTGGGTTTTATTTTTTATTTTGTAGAAACCCTATTGAATTGCAATGGAATTCTATTTCTGTTGAGGTCCTGCACACTGTGCTATATGTTTGGGGACAAAAAGATGAATGGAACATGATTTGTGCACTTCAGGAGCTCATAGTCCAATACAAAAGTTAAAGTGCCATAATGTTTATTCAAAGGCTATGTCATAGTTTGTGGACCTCATGTCATTTGTTAATGAAAGGCTCATATAACTCAACAGTGACATTGTCATGCCCTGTGAAACTCTGACATTGCCAGGAGGCAACTTTAAATCACCAAAAAGCTTTGATGTCAGATGAAGCTTTCAGAAAGAGGAGACCTGGTGGAAAGCCTCCCCACCTCTACACTGAGCCTATGAGGTGTCCCCTAAAAAAGAGGAACCAATCTGAGAGAGAAGTTTACACATTTTTTAATACTTCAAGTTTATAGATAAAGGAACTGATTTAAATCAAACAACTAGAATAGGATTTGTGTCAATGAATTGTGTCATCTATTCTCTCACAAGCAACACATTTTATTGGCTGACAAAATCAGCTACCATTCAATGAACCAAGTTAAGAAGAATTCAG